TTCTCTCTTTCACAGATCCCAAAAGCTATTGGGAATATATGTCTATTCGCATCAAGAGCACATGCACTTAGAATAGTTCCACGAAATTTAGCTTTTAGAAAAGATCCATCTGTGCTAATAATGGGACGGCAAGCCTTAAAACCTTCTCTCCATGCTTTCAGTGACATGAAGAATCTCTTAAAATTGCCTTCTCTATCAGTGTCTAAAGTAATAAGAGAATCAGGGTTGGTTTTCTTTAGCATATAACACAACACTGGCAATTTTTTATACGACTCAACATCTGTCCCGCATATAGACATCAAAGCAGACTCCTTTCCCCTCCATGCCTTTTTGTAGTTCAATTTCAAACCTAATTGTCTATTTAAATCTGACATTATAGCTTTCGGCGGATAAGGTCTTCTAGAGGCATCCATATATTGATGTTTCACCAGTTTGCCAATGATGGAAGCACTTGCTTGCCTATTCCCACTTGTTCTACAATCAATTGGGCATGAATGGACTGTATAAAACCTGCACAATCATAAGAATTACTTTGTTACTAAAGTTACTATATCAAACATAATAATATTCCACTATATTGCTACATACTTTTTGATCTGGAAGCACCCTGTTTCACTGATCTTGACACCACGCACTGTCCACATGCACTTTTCCCCAATGCACACAACATGTAAAACCCCGGGAGTTGAAGTCTTTGTTCTGAACTGGAACCTATTGTGCAATGCATATAACTGTAGAGTCTCCTTTAATAGCTCCTTGCTGGGATATATTCCATCAATTCGTAATGTTGTGTCCATTCAATTTCAGTGCATTCGTGCACTCCATTGTCCATTCGTAATTTTTGAACCTCCAACCGTGCACTCCATTTCAGTTGCAAATAAAATTTCAGACTTTGCTCACTATCAATAAACGTGGGTTCAAATGATTCATATATTTTGTATGATATGCAATCAATCTCCACACTTGGCAGAAGGTCTAAACCCTTTTGTATCTCAGAAATTAGTTCACTATACGTCACATATGGATCAAGCAATAAACCATGTGTTGATTTTGATACAAATTTCTTTTCTTTGTTCCACTTTCCATCATACAAGACTGTGATCATAACTTGCTCCATCCTATGCACATAATACAAATTTAATTATTACTAAGTAACTGTAATAGAGTTCAGTGTAACTGTATCTGAATGGGTATTAGTAACAGTGTTGTGCAATGTCTCAGTTACTACGCCAACTATACTTTAGTGACAGTTACTATGTGACATAACGTAGTGACAGTTACTATGTGACATAATGTAGTGACAGTTACTATGTGACATTATTCAGTGACATTTACTATGTGACATTATTCAGTGACAGTTACTATGTGACATACTTTAGTTACAGTTACTATGTCACATTATTCAGTGACAGTTACTACAACAATTGCAGTTACATATACTTACAGTTACATTACTACTACGTAAAAGTAAGTCAATTCCAGTTGCATTCTTAACTTCAAATTTAAGCGTTTCTATAGCAACACTCCTTCAAAGAAAGGCATATTACTACATAGTTACAGTTCCATAGTCTTATAAATAATACATAGACTTTCAAATTTAAATAAGTTACTAACTCAAAGAGTGACTAATTTCAAATTACTAAGACTGACTAATTTTCCCTTTCTTTTTGCCATTACTCATTACAGTTACATAGTCTTTCTATACTACATAACATTTCAAATTTCAATTAGTTACTTACACTACATAATCGTTCTTATTTGAACTACATTATTCAATAGATCTGTAAAAGTTAACACTTCACAGAAAACGAAAGGTGTACATCACTGCAACAATGAAAGGTGTACATCACTGCAGATTATTATTGCAGATTATTATTGCATGATATATTTGAAACAAAGTTTCAGAATCACATTGACTAATTTTGAAATTGTTAAAGTTCTGATATGCATAAAACTATATGTTCACATCACATAGTTTCAGAATCACCATTTATTCCCTAACTTCATCACCATTTGTTCATGATCATCCTTTTAGACACTAATTATTGACATCTTACAGTTACAACCCTAAATATCAGTGATATAGTGTTCAACATGTCAAATTCTTAAAGTTCTAACAGCTACAACACACAATATCAAAAGTTCTTAAGAAAATTGGAATGAATAGCAATTGCGATTGACTGGATTGTAGTGTTCTACCAGTTACTTTGCGATTGTACAGTTCTTAATTTTTTTTCCCGATTTTAGAGTTCTAACAATTACCTTTGAATCACGATGAGAATGAATATGATAATTGAAGATCATTGAAACCGGAATAACAATTACCTTTGATTCTCTGGATAATTCTCTCGCAGATTCGACTGGTAAAATCCGTCGTCGTCGTCCATTCTGGTACTGCGTATGGCTTTGCGAGCTTCCCGGCCTCTTTCCGGAATCTTGGGAAGTCGGTTACTGCGGATGTCTTCAGAAACTTAACGAATCCTGTTTTAATAAATAAAGGTTATTTTTGGTAATTGCTGTTTTGAGTTAATCGTTTGGATACGCTCTTATTTTTGGAATAAATTAAACTTGTCACTTTTTTTGTCTAATTACTAATATTTACTAATATTAGTGACCTAACCCCATATTTATATGCACGCACGCACATTGACACATATGTAAAGTTATGGATAAAAGGGAGACCTTTTTTTTTACTTTCCAAAAATGGGACTAAAAAGAGGATTAAGAGAGTATTATACCCTTATACTAATATAATCTCACCCATTAGTGCTCCAGTATAGTCACAGTGACCAACAAAAATAGTGACAAAAAATTAGTGACGAAAAATCCAAATTCCGCCAAGTGACAAACTTTCGCCCGGTTAGTGACCAACGTCCGCCCGTACAGTTACAGTTACCCGACTCATCCAGTTACAGTTACCCGAACCGTCCAGTTACAGTTACACGACCCGTCCAGTTACAGTTACCCGACCCGCCGATTATGGTTACAATTACATAACCCGTCCAGTTACAGTTACCAACCGTTCACTTACAATTACCAACTCGTCCAATTACCCATAAACCACCACTGACCACAGCCACCGCCAATTACCCATAAACCACCACCTCCCACCGCCACCGCCAGCAACCACACCTCCCACCTCCGGCGAGCACCACACTCAATCCCAATGCCTCACCCAGCCCCCTCCCCTGGTCACCCTAACCCCCCTGCATCACCCATCCCACTCTCCCCTGCATCACCCATCCCAATGCTCCGGCCACCGCCGGCCATGCTCCGGCCGCCACCGCTCATGCTCCGGCCGCCACCGCTCATGCTCCGGCCGCCACCGCTCATGCTCCGGCCGCCGCCAGATCGGCCTTACAAACCTTACCTGACCCCACCATCGCCCAAGACCTTGTCCAGACCTCATCCCATGCCCCAAGCAACCAGGCCCGTCACCTCCGCCCACCATTTCCCCCTCCCCTGCTGCAGGCGGCTGCAAATATGAGAATTAAGGCCGCCACCGTTGCAATCGAACTGCAGCCGCCACAAATCTAGTAACATGGATGAAGGCATTGTCGAGACTAGCTTCTGCCATCGTCCATGGAATTTTCGACCAAGACATCTTCGTTGTTGAGCCGCTGAAGCACCTAGACTGCTAGACGAAGAAGATGAACATTGCAGACGCGAGCGGCGAAGGGCAGGCGCGGGCGGCAGCGTGTATCGGCAAAAAGGTGTCCGACGTTGATGTTTGGAGCTTTGGTCGGAGCTGTTGTTGCGCGCAGGAAAGAAGCTCGGAGAAGACCGTGGGATGGTGCGTCGCTTGGAGATCTGGTGCGGTCCTTTTTTTGTCAAATTAAAAATCAGTCCTAGTTTTGGAAAATGAGAAGTCGAGACTCCTTTTTTAGTCTTTATTTCTATATACTCCCTCCGTCCCGATAATAACCTCCCGGTTTGACTTTCACACACTTTTAGAAAATAAACTTGACTTTACTGTAGAGTGCACTGTTTTGCACTGTTTAAACAGTGTTTGACACTGTTTAAACACTGTTTGGCACTGTTTAAACACTGTTTGGCACTGTTTATCACTTTTTTGATGTAGATAATTTGCCAAATAAGGAAAGTATTGAAGTGGGAAGTTAATTTTGGGACATCCATTTAAGGAAAGTGGGGAGTTGTTTTTGGGACGGAGGGAGTAATATATATATGTTGTTTTTTCATATCACAACAAAGATGATACTCCATACCACAGTTCTCTCGGTTTTAGTATTATTAACTTTTATCAAAAGTATTGATGGCAAAATTTTAAAAAATATTCAAATCAGTGCAGTGATTAAGAAATTATAATCCACATAGAGTACTTAAAAGTCCAACAAAATAGTCCAGAAGCAGCAAAATGACAAACGAGTCCCTCGCCACAATACAGCCACTTCAAAGACAAAAAAAAAGAAGTGCTACAAGGAGCTCTGCGTGATTCTTATCATCTTTATGGATCACCGGAGTCAATACCCGAACCACAACCTCCCGTTGATTTGCCTCAAAGACCTCAACCCGTTTCGAGGATCCATATTCGGTTCGTTCTTGACTCAAAAACCCTCCTAGCCCACCGTATGTTGTCACCTTCCATTATATAGGCTATAATATACGTAGTATATATATGTAAGGGCTCTTTACTTGGCCAACAAAAAGAAAAAGAAAATGTGCCCTTGTTCCGTCAGTTGCAAAGGAAGGCAGCCTTGATATCCAAAACCATACGTGAGATAAGTGCATTAACAGTCTCGACCGACTCCAATGTAAGCTTTGCTCCCGGCGAGCTGCTCACTAACATTTGGAACCCAACAGTCAGTAAAGATCCGTTGTTGTCATTTCCATCTATTGAAGGGGCTCCTTTGGAATCATCCAACCAACCAGTGTTGTTATAATAGTCCGATACTATGGAAAATCCAGATGGAAGAAGAGCCACACAGGAAGAATCCCCTCCATTCATCACAAGTGTCATTTCTTGTGCACCCACTGAAGCATATGTTATGATGGACCCAGACATGTCAGTGCACGACTCTTGCAACATCAACATGCTATTTTGATTCACACTAGCTGAAGCAGTCTGCACGTCAAAAAGGCCAAAAAGTCAAGATGGTGCTTCACAAAGGAGAACGAAAATGTTACAGTTTTGGCCTCGACTTTTAGGTCATTCCTACTCTCGGACCCTGGCCTATAGTCTTTCCGACCACTTATCCCACCAATTTCGTTACAATTTTAAGTTATTTTCACTAGAGGTGTCGAAAAAGACCAAAGCTACAAAGAATCATAGGCATCATGTAAAAGTGGAAAAAGTAAAAGTTGGGGACCAAAAGAGAGAATATTTAATAGTTGTAGGACTAAAAATTGAACTTTTCCATATGAGAGATGACAGAAACTCATTGGAGAATGTCTCTCGAACGATAACTTGTTATACTTGCATTAGTGTCAACCTTATTTGATAAACTTTGCACCCACAACGAGCCTTAAAATTTGAGCTTTTGCACCCCCACGATTTCCCTTTTTGAGTTCGCACTTCATTTTGGGGTGCATGCTCAAATAAAATAGAATACAGGGTGCAATGTCAAATATTCCGACAAATCATGTGGTGTAAGAAACCAACTTTTTAGACAAAACATCATCAAATGTAAAAATGGACCATTTTTTGTGCATTTTGACAAAAAGTATGACTCTTACTGTTAGCACAATACGTGTGAATCTAATGGAGTTAAAAAAGTTTGTGCACTAACGTTTCGATAAATAGAGATTCTGTTGGCGGGATCGGTCTGGCCCTTAGAAATGTGGATCATCTGTTGCAAGGCACCATTGGACAAGACATCCCACTGGTTCCTGGTTTCTTCACTCCTTAGGAAATCAAACAAGCGCAGCCTTGTAATTGGTAACCAAATGGTCTTGGTTGCACTTAACACCACTCCTGGCGGCTCTCCCGGCTCACCTTGACTCTTACGCATGCTCAACCTAACAGCAGCAGGATCATTTCCATTCCCGGTTTGGATAGGATCCCACCTGTACATGTTTGCACAGACAACAGCACAGAAGCTACGGGTCATGCGTTGTGCCAATTGCACAATACTCCTCCTGCCACCTGGACTAATAACTGCAATTGCATGTTTAATGACTAGCTTCCGTCAGAATTTTCAACCACTGAACTCCATAACAACTTATTTAGAATAACCAAGTTTAAGTGTCTGTTTGGATCTAAGAAAGAAAAAGGCAGGCATATAAAGAATGAAAGTAGATGGAAAATTTGGGAGAAAAACTTAGGGTGGAGGTTTGTTGAGATTTGAGAGTCGATGAATCAATTTTAGGTACTAGCCCTAACTCATTATATTGCTATATTTCCAATGTACATATGCTAAAAAATATCGGATAGTTTCAAAAGTTATGATTAAATTTTATTATCGTGACTGTTGAAGAAGCTAAAACTTAACATTAAAAAACTATTTTATTTCCAAGACATTTTCTGCATTCCAAAAACAGCCTAAAAGAATATTACGGAGTACTTTTTTATGTTTGTTTTTATCATAAAAAATGTGAAGGAAAGTGACACATGAATAGTGGGAAAAACATACTATGGAATATTAAGGATTGTAACTCTATATAATACTCCGACCTTCGTACTGTAGAAGAATAAGATTGAAAAAGTGTCTAAAATATACGTAGTGTTGATCAAGTATGAATTTTCGACTCTATCATTTATTGTCCATCAACTACTCTTCTTTTCTCTTTTTCTCTCAATTTTCTTTGTTATGTTCCTTCTCAAGCATTTCCCAGATTCCAAAAAGATCCTTAAAAGTACAGGGGGGAAATCTGAAAGACCTGAACTTTCTGCACTAGGAATAGAGGGAGACATGATGGCGGCTATGCACTCGCATTGCCTCTGAAGGGTGGCAAGCCACCTTTGTGCTCCAAGCCCCACACCAGACCTTATCAATGGTTTTAAGAAATTGTGGACCATACTCTCGTCATATTCCATATGTTGAATCCATAAAACCTGAAAAACAAAGTTCGTATTTTATATTACTCAATTACAAATACAAACCATTTTGCACTCATTTTTGCTGATCTTGAATTAAAATATTTTTTACTTGCCTTCGAATAACCATTCTGTAAATCTTGGACAATGCAGCCTGAAGGAAGCATTCTGCAGCTTTGAAATTCATGTGGTTGTGAACCATCCACAGAAACATCAACAATGGCCCACACACCTTTGGCATGATGTTTGCAGAACCGGAGAAATTTTACATTATGAAGGGGTGCCAATGGAGACAGAATTTGAAGTTCAGCATGCATCTACAATTGTATAAATATTTCAATCTCTAGTTTCAATGAAAAGGACAATAAGGTTATTTGGCATCCATAACCGAGCAACCTCTGAAACGCTATTAGAATCACGTATAGCATAAGTTAGCCAAAACAGGCTCTAAGTCACTACTGGCTCAACCTCTGAAATGAAACAATTTTTCTTTTGTAGATTCTGCCATTTTAGACAGCAGGAGAACCCTTACAAAACAGGCCCTAAATGTTTTCAAAAACAAGAAAATCTATAAATCTATAAACAAAACAAAGAAAGAGTATATATACCAACTGCAAGGAACCATCTCTGCTTCCACTAGGGTTGCTGGATATCACATCAATGACTGAGGCTCTTCCAACAATGCCAGTGAACATTTCTGCCCATCGATTCTGAAATAACGTGTACCGGTCTAAATATATTCCAATTAATACAACAATATAAATACTTATACAAAAAAGATCTCAAAAAAAAACATTTTACTTACAACATCCATTAAGGTTTCCACAATGGCCATACTATTGAGCAATACAGTGCCAGTAGTTCTACTTGCCTCAGTGATGAAGTTAGGAGGTCTCATTCCAATACAGCAACGAAATGTCCTATCATACTCCTCAATATTTAATGCCTCTCCATTCCCATCTACGCTTCGATGCCATAAAGGCTCACCAATCTCAGCCAGCTTCAACAGCTCATTCATAGCCGTAAAACCAAGATCCATTACCATTGATCTATTATCATAGTCATTGCTTGGTACATTCCATGCATCAAAATTGCTTCTCCCGACAGCGAGTTCCAAATCAGTATTCCCCATTGAACCGGAGAAAGGCAAAATCGGCTTTCCAAGAAACTTGTTGGCCAAGACACAAATTCTGTTAAGCTCATCCCTCAAACGTGTGTTCTCAAGCCTTAAATGATGTTCCTCCACGTGTACTTCACCAAGTATGGCCTGTCCTCCACACTGGTTGCACATTGGGTTGCTTATTGCTTCTTTCATTGCTATGTTCTCTATCCGAAGCTTATCATTTTCTTGTTTAAGTATAGCATTTTCATGTCTCTCTAATTGAGTCTAAGTCATTCAGTACAAATAAGAAAAGGGACAAGTTTCAGTTTAAATGTAAACAATCAACAAGACAAAAAAGCTGCCATTCTTACATAATAATTATACCTTCATTTGAGTTCTTCTATTCTGAAACCAAAATTTAACCTGTTTGTTTTCCAAGTTTAATCTCCTACTAAGTTCCAATCTTGCCTTTTCATCAGGATGTGGGTTCTCCTTGAAAGCACTAAACCAGGAAAAGAAAAATGCACAAAATTATATTATGGCAGAAAGAAAAACACAAAGAAAAACAACAGATCGAGCTTATTTACGTTTCAAGTTCTTGGATTTGATAGGGAGTATGGCGATGGTATTTCTTTCTTTTGGAGGATTTAGTGCCTGCTGTTGGGTCTTGATCATCCCCAGATGCACCTTCAACATTTTCACTACCAGACCTACTCTCATATCCATCCTCTCTACTCCCTCTTCCTATTAAACCTGGATCAAAGCTTTCTCCTAACACTCCCAGACCACCCTCCATTTTGGGTTTCTGCACAAGCGAAGTTTAAAAAAACAATATAATGATAACACTTTTATTCATGAGCTCTTTCGCAAAATAAAAAATCAAAGCTTTACGGGTCACATGAATCTTTTGACCATTTTTCGGGAAAAAAATAAAGAAAGTTGGATATTCATACAAGGGCAAGAGCGAACGGAGGGGGGTTGAACACGGGCCGGGTCTGGACCACAGCCGGGTCATCCCGTTGTGGCCGAGTTGTCATGGTACAACTGTACGGACTTTCCGCCACCATTCTAGAACTTACGCCGCCCCCGCCGCCGCTACTACCGACGGAGCCTCCAAGGGTAGTGGTCGTCGTCATCATAAACACATAAAAATCGAGTCTTTTTCACTTCCCGGAAAACAAGCCTTCTCTCTCTCTCTTCAGAGGAGGGATTTCAAAGATCTTTTTTACACCCCACAACAACAACCCAAACCCACGAAATTTAAGGAGAAGCAAATGCGGGTTGGAATAAAACACCCACGACTCCGTTTTATTACACCACCATCTCTAGCTGTCAGTACTCAATAGTCTTCCATATATCTAAACCCTAGTTTTGTTCAAAGCGAGACATGGGGTTTATTTGACCGCTTATATAGCTGTCAAATCAGTCATGGGAGGAGAAGGAAGAAAGTCCCCATAAAGTGGAAAGCGGGGAGAAAGTAAAAAGCCATACTACAATTTTAACCCCCAGTGAAAAAAGGGCTTTTCATTACCTAGCGAACAGAAAAAAGTACTTTTGAAAACCCACAAAACCAGGAAAAAATTCAAAAAATACGGTGTAACAGCAAAAATTATAGATCACGCCGGCTGAATTTTGACTCTTTCGGAATCAAGATTGAACCTTTTTACCCCATTCTCTCTGCCCATGAGATCATGCCCCCAAAAATACACTTTTTGTACGGAGAAAGAATCCAACAAAAAGGCTTTCTTTCTTTTATTTTAATCATTGACATGCCCACTAAAAGTTAAAACTCAAAAACAGACAGATTTCATTTATTCAAGCGTGGGCAACAACAAAATTTCGTATTTGTTTTTGTTTTTTGCTTTTCATGTCGGGATCTGAATATTCTAATGAATGATTAGGAGGGGGAAATGGAGCCACAAGATTGCCAGATGACTTACTGTGTGTCCAGCGGCGCACGTTAATCGAAGGATGAATGTAGAGAGTCTCAATTCCTGCAACAAATCGAAACCTTGCCAGTCTGTCTTTTTTTCTTTCTTTCTTGAATTCAATCTTTAATCATCGTTTTCTACTTCTAATTACTCCGTATTTGTTTCCCATTTAGCACTGTTAGATGCAATTTATTATGTTTTAAAAAATAGAATGAGAGATGGGGAAACAGATTATAAAATCGAACTATTGAGCAGCGTACGTGTACCAAGCCGTGTTCTAATAGAGTGTTGATACTCTGACAGAAATTTCCCTGATTTTCCTTTTTTGCCGAAAGAGAACAATCCGGGGTATTTTATTTTCTTTTATAGAAAGAAATAATTGATTTTTAAAGTATCATTTTACATTTTCCAACTCATCATCATATCTCAAAAGAAAGGACTTTATTTATTCTTATTAAAGTCATTAATCATTACATGTTTGTACTATTATTATATACTACTGCGTATTTGTAAATCAGATTTGGCATAGGAGGTAGTAACACAATGTTGACTATGTTTGCAGTTAACACTACAGTGAACAAATGTCCATGTTCTTATTCACCATACTTGAAGAACCGCAGTAAGAATGCTTTTAAAATAATATACATGGTTCAAGTCACTTCGTCTAACTATTTTTGGATCATACTTCAGGAAGGAGTCTTGAACGCTTCAAGGAGTTAAGGAAGGGTGCTTTCTAAGATGGAAGAAACTATGTTGTATTGTTTTTTATGAAAACATGACTGGTCATTTTATATTTGAAAACTATGACATTTGGACTGCTTTCAAATGAAGTGTGTATAATACTTGCGAAATAATAATGCAAATAGAATCCTGGATTCTCTGTAGTTTTCATTACATATTCTAAAAAAATAGGATCAATTAGTTGAAAGACTTGAAACATTACATTTATTATAGTTCATCTGGTATAGTTTATATAGCTATAGTAGTTGTAACCTATTAGGCTTGAAAAAAAAGTTTTAAAAAAACATTTAAAAAGTATGATTAAAAAAGTATGATAGTTAATTTACCTTTCAAAATGACATCTGATA